AGAAACCATTTTCACTTAGTCACTCAGAACAGCCACCTCCGACTGGTCGATCGCAACAACCGCCTCCTATTGGTGTGCCACAACAACTACCTCAATTTGGTCAGTCGCAACGATCTTCACTAAGTATGCTACAGCAACCACTTCCGACTGGTCAATGGCAGCAACCGCCTCCTCTTGGTGTGCCACAACAACTACCTCAATTTGGTCAATCGCAACAATTTTCACAAAGTAATCTGCAGCAACCACCTCCGACTGGTCAATGGCAGCAACCGCCTCCTCTTGGTGTGCTACAACAACCACCTCAGTTCGGTCAGTCACAACAATTTCCACCTAGTGCGCTGCAACAGCCACGTCCGACTGGTCATTGGAATCCTGAAATTTTCGATCATCACAGGTTCAGGCGATTCGCAGTTTTTTGATTTTTTTTTTAGATTTAAAGCCTTAAAAATTTAAAGACTTGGCACTTTGAGCAACAATCATTTGATCGCCCGGCTTCTTTCAGCTGCTGATACAACTTGAAATTTCTCCATTCTTCTCAGTTTTGAACTTTTCCTCATCTTTATTTTAAAGAAATGTTTGTATTCAACTTTGCACTGTGCCGACAACTTTTCCGCTGCTTTTTTGGCGGTGCGAATACTATTTTTCACAGCACCCATTCCAAGAGCATACAACACAGCACTGTATTTCATAGAGTTTATTCTTGAAATCGAGTTAGATTTTGGACAGATACCGGATTAGATCTATGCAGACTGCAGGCATCATCGTCTGAATTTCAGCACCTGGAAATTTCATTGTTTTAATTTAATTAGTTGCTTTGGTAATAAGAAATAGCAATGTTTAGCGAATAATCTACTCATTTATTTGCTTTTGTAAAATGAAAATTTCAATGCAGAAATCTTTTGCTTTCAGAGGAGATCCAAGTAGAACATTCGCAGCGCCAAGGGAAAATGCTCCAGGCGCTCCACTGAACATGGCGGATATTGAAGTTACCTTTGCTTGTTAAAATTTTGCAATGAGAATTGAATTCCTCATTGAGATTCCTTGAAATTTTACGATTTGTCAAAGATTCAGGTAGTTCTAGTAAAGAGAAGGAATGCCCGATAGGTTCTAGCTCCTTGTTTAATCTTTAGCCTTGCCACTTAAAATTTTACACCCCTTATTACCCGAAGACCTTGTCAAAGCGCTTTGAAAAAATTGTTAAGCGATGGTCACTTCAAGAGGTGAAATGAGCACCAGGATTGCCAGCAAGCTGACCACCAGGAATGCAAAATTGGTTAAAGCAGTTGTTGGAAAAGTAGCTGACTACACAACTGGAAAATGAGCTGTGATCAAAATTTAAATTTAATGTTTGAATGCTTGGAACGGCTACTGGTTCACCACTAATTTTAATTCGAAACGTTCTCCAATCGTGTAGCCGACAGTCATTCCACCGACTCCGATTTTGAGCGCTGCGCATTCACAGTGCACCATATATTAGAGTTAGCGGTTCAACGCAGCGTGCCGCTGGCTTTCCAACTGTTTTTATCATAATAAAATAAAAAGGTCGAGAAGGCACTACATGTAAAGTCTAGTTGATCCTGGTGCAAATGTTTCATACCTCAGCCCTAATAGAGACAGAGAAGCACCCACTGATAGAACTGGGGAATCATCAGTACAGCCTTTTTGTAGGATGTGAGTGTAATAGGCAGCAAGAAAAAGAATTTTTTACTGCAAAAAGCTTAATTTTTGTAGTGCAAAAAATCTATTTTCAGCTCTTACTGTTTTTATTTCATCTCGGTACAGATTGCAGATTCCAAGAGAATATGAAGTTCCGTGTCAAATCAAGCATAAGCCGTCATACCCCGATCCGAAAATACTAGAAGAAGATATGCTGTTTTTCATCTTCTACACTATCGAGAATGAACAAGTTGAAGCTGCCGAGGAACTGTATGTTTCTTCTTAAAATTTAGTGACGTGATGGTGTATTTGCATGTTTTTTGTTTCGCGCATTGAGGGGGCAGAAGAAAATATGGAAGTACATTTTGAGCATTTCGAAACAGTTCCGTTTATTCTTCTGACCAGTTTACTTTAATCTTCAGTCTTTTAACATGTAAATTTCAAACAACCTTACTAGATATTTTAGTTACGATCGAGGATGGCGATATCATAAAAGACTCAGAAAATGGCTAAAGGAACAGAGAGTAGTGTTTAATCAATGGGAAGACGAGGAAGGGAGCAGTTTGAAAGGACTTTTCACTTCTTTTAATCATGAACAATGCAGAAAAGTACATTTTTCACTAGCTGAATATTCATTTTTGCTACTGTTGCAATGCAGGTCAGTTTGGTGCGGGATTTTAGCCATGGAATCCAACAAGACTTTTTTTAGAAAGCATTTTGCTGCATGATTAGTGAGAGCTATCCGTTCAGTTTTTTCCGCACTGCACCCTACGAGCTTTGTCACTGAGCAAAAAAAA